ACGATCTTTAACCGACGAGTTCTTCCTTATTATTGACCCAAACACTTTATAAATGCATATTTCTGAGCTTCTGACGTCGAAAGGAATCGATTGAGCTCACAAAACACGCATGTGAAATTTTGATTTTTGGTCGAAAGGGAAAAAATTCGGCTTTTGCAGCCATTGCTTGAAATTGGAGAGTTTTTCGCGCTTTTGAAAAATAATTTCTTGCATGTTTGTACCCGAAGATGCTTCGCCACTTGTGCATGTGAAATATCAAGCAGAAATTTTATTCGCAGACGTCCTGAAGCCCCAAAAACCAGTTTCAGAAATTTAGTAGTCAAAAACGTACGGTTTCTGCGGCCATTAGCTTGAGAGAAAAAACCTTTGCAATTAAAATGCGGCAACAATTGAAATCGTGATTAGCGCAATTGGTTCTATTTACATTAGGGGTCATTAACAACTGTTGGTTCCTATGAGCGAAGCTTACCGTTAAAAACGACGTGCATCGGTACCCGATCTGAGAAAAAGCTTCCAATGTTATTCACGATTTTATCGATTCATGCATGTATTACGTGCTACGACCACTTATATAAGACTCTTTAATAACTTCAAAAAAGAAACAGGTTCTGATCATTTCTTTTTGATTCCGCCAAGGACGATGAACCGCGTATTCAAAAACGAGATCCTCGGGCCCCATAGTTTAGGAGGCACAACCGGCCAGCGAATTAAATTTTGTATTCTTCTTCTATCTTCTATGTCTCTGTTGAGTTATTCAAAGGATTGTCCACTAAACTTTGCTTCTTGCTGGTTCAATTTACGCGCGGTTTTTCAAAACAGGATTTTATTGCCTAAGGTTGCCCCAAAAAATGACAAAATTTTGGTCAAAACACCCATTGATTCAAATTTCTTTCGCCAACCAAATTTAAACGACTATAGAGTATCCAATCGAAATTGAATGCAGCGTCTTTTAAAATGCCCCGGGCGAATAACCCGGAGAAGAAATCCATTGGGGCCAAATCTGGTCAGCTAGATGGCCAACGAACTGATTATCCGTTCTTATACGGTTGTTTTCTAAAAATCGGACTTTAGTTAGTTTCTCGTTTTGGGGAACGTAAAATCTGAGGTATAAAAGATGTTGTTTGGGTGAAAACCGGGTTTGTGGTTGAGAACAAACGGGAAAAAATTGTTGATTTATTATGCCAAATAGGGCGTGTTTATGAACCGAATTTTTTAACAACCACAAATAAACAAAATCTAGTGGGGTTAAAACTGGTCAACCAGATTTGAAAGAAATGTATTTCTAGAACTCAGGAGGAAACTTAACGTAAACGTTTAACTTACAAGTAAAAAACGCGAATCAAAGATCAAAGGAAGTATGAACAAATCGACCTAATTGCAGTCACTCTCACTACTCTTGGTAACAGGCTGGAAATCAAGCGCAATTTCAAATCGATAAATCTAGCACTTTCTAATGCATTTCTCATAGTTTTTCGATTTTTTCGCGTTCCACTTGGACTATTGTGTGGCCGCCTACAATTTGCTGCATTTTATGTACGTATTACATCTGGCAGTCGAGGAAACGGTTTCAACTTTCGCTCAGGAATGGTTTACGGAAAACATACTAACCTTATGTAAGATCCAATTTTGGTTTTATTGGTCTCTTCGAATGCACCTAACATTAGCTAATTCGATTGTTTCCTAGTATTAATTAAGTAGGCGTTTTTCGCATTTGATGTAACAGTACACATAAGAAAGGTGACGCAAATCCAAACTCAATACTCAATGTCTTGCACATGAAGAGCTACAATCTTCCACCAGGTTCCACCACCAAACGCCCCAAATCTCTCACCTTGTTTGATGCTGGTAGTGCTGGGCGCGCCTCCTTGGGGTGAGAGCAAAAGAGTATTTACATCCCCCAAGTCGGTACTACCGGCTTGAAGGGATGGCGCTTGAATGTGTATGGGGGTTAGCTGCAGCTGGCAGGGTGGCGGAGGCGAAACCTCCCCAGCAGAGGGTGATTCAACTGAACCTGGATCGCTAAATCCTCCCTGGAGGAATTCACTTGCTTTAAAATGCTGCCTCAGTGGTCGATTTTCATATTGATTGATTGGTTGATCAAGTGCAGAATCTTTTTTCATCTTGTCGAACTGAAATGTGCATTATTGTCCCTTTCACCCTTTCACTTTGCTTGAGCGCTGACATTGAACATCTGTAAAACTGTCCTTCGACGAGTTATTTTCGATTTCATCAATAATTCGCAATTCAAATTGGTCAGGATGGGAACAATTTGGTAAATCATTCCATTTTCCCAGACTTGGTTTGCTCGACTAATGTTTGCAAATATATGAGGTCAAGATTTTGTCGAAACAGTAGCGAAATTAATTCGTCTCTCTTCTGTCTGGTATTGAAATTGTTTTTTTCGTCGAGGAAACACGTCAGTACTTTTCGCGCAGGTTGTTTCTCCAACCAACATAGCGCTCAATATGGATGAGACGGATGTTTCGAGATCAACTAGGTCAGCTACAGATTTTGCAAAAAAATCTACAAAAAGTGGTTGTGTCTTAGTTTGTTTTTGAGTAAATGCTTTAAAAAATCAGGTCTGAGAGATTCAAAATCTTCCAATTTTCTTCTTGTTTTTATGAAACCAATCAATCAAATGAAAACCGCCATATCGCGTAATGTAAGATCGATTCCAAATCGTAGGAGGATCGAAAAATGCAACATTCTGTTGATGAGTTGAAAGTTGAATGCTGCCGATAGTCGGGGCAAAAGTGCTATTTTGTCTATATTTACCTGAGTATTGTTGTCTTCGGTGGAGTCGAAAAAGCACAAATTAAATTCCGATCCTGCGTCTTCAAATTTCACTTCCGGTGCTATTTTATCCGGCGATGGGGCTCCGCCTAGCGTTTCGCTTAGCGATTGGTCGATTTTAAAAATGTCCATGCTGAAGAGGGTGACCGAGGAAGCTCAGCTACCATTCGCGCACTACAAGCACAACTTTTTCAAATGTAAAAAACTCTTGTAAAACTAAACCAAAACAGGCCCACTTTGCATAAGAAAACTAACAGATTCCCATAGGGATTTAATTGAGAATGTTTCAAAAAATTTATTTTGAAAAATTATCTGGCTTGGTAAAGTAGAGGACTTTAAGTGGTTAGTTTCAACTGAAATCTATCTAGACCAAGGATTAATCTTTTGTAATTTGAGTAAGTTTTCACTGTGTTTCTTCTTTTAATTGCTTAATAGTAACAACATCTGAACATTTTATTATTGCTGGTTCTTTGCACAATCTTTTC